GGGCCTGGCGGTGCCGAGTCACGGCCGCTGCCCCCGCCGGGATGGGACAGCGCTCGGCGCTGCGCAGAGCCGAGAGGTGATGGAGCCAAACCCTCAGCCTGTCACTGCTGGAGCCCCAAAATATTAAACCAGATCCTCCTGCACCAGAGCCAGACACCTCTTAAACACCTCCAGGGATGGTGACTGCACTGCCTCCCTGGCAATAGTCATAAGGAGTCACCAATTCTGGAGGAGACCTCTAAGATCAAGTCCAACCATTAACCTGTCGCTGCTAAAACCCCCATACCACATCCTCCAGCACCAGATCTTGGTGCTTCTTGAGCCCCTCAGGGATGGTGACTCCACCACCTCCCTGGGCAATATTCATAAAGGATCACAAAGTTTGGAGGAGACCTCTAAGATCATTGAGTCCAACCCTTAACCTGTCACTGCTGGAACCCCAAAATATTAAACCAGATCCTCCTGCACCAGAGCCAGACACCTCTTATACACCTCCAGGGATGATGATTCCACCACCTCCCTGGGCAATAGTCATAAAAGATCACTAAGGTTGGAGGAGACCTCTAAGATCAAGTCCAACCCTTAACCTGTCACTGCTGGAACCCCTAAACCAGATCCTCCAGCACCAGATCCAGATGCCATATAGACACCTCCAGGGATGGTGATTCCACCACCTCCCTGGGCAATAGTCATAAAGAATCATCAAGTTTGGAGGAGACATCTAAGATCAAGTCCAACCATTAAGCTGTCACTGCACTGTAATCCCTAAGCCACATCCTCCAGCACCAGATCCTGGTGCCTCTTGAGCCCCTCAGGGATGGTGACTCCACCACCTCCCTGGGCAATAGTCGTAAAGGATCACGAAGTTTGGAGGAGATCTCTAAGATCAAGTCCAACCCTTAACCTGTCACTGCTGGAACCACTAAACCCTAAACCAGATCCTCCAGCACCAGATCCAGACACCTCTTAAACACCTCCAGGGATGGTGATTCCACCACCTCCCTGGTCAATATTCATCGAATTAGAGAATCAAGTTTGGAGGAGAGCTCTAAGATCATCGAGTCGAACCCTTAACCTGTCACTGCTGGAACCCCTAAACCCTAAACCAGATCTTCCTGCACCTGAGCAATATTCATAAAGGATCACAAAGTTTGGAGGAGACCTCTAAGATCAAGTCCAATCCTTAACCTGTCACGGCCGGAACACCTAAACCCTAAACCAGATCCTCCTGCACCAGAGCCAGACACCTCTTCAACACCTCCAGGGATGGTGATTCCACCACCTCCCTGGTCAATATTCCAGTGCCCGAACACCCTAACACTGAAAAAACTTCTTAACATCTCCTCTGACTCTGCCCTGTCTCAGTTTATGACCATTCCCTCTAGTCCCCTCCCTGCAGCCATGGCAGGAGAGACATCCCCCACCTCTCTCCAACCCCTTCAGGGTGCCAAGTTCTTTCAGAGTCCTCACTGTAGCTTTCCATGGCCATACAATGAATATTAGACTGATCCTGAAAGGAGCATAGGGAAAGGGCTGAGTCTCCTTGGTGTGTCCGGAGACTCTTGATTCTCCAGCATTGGGTTGGATTCATCATATGTGAGAAGGTTTGTCATGGGATGTGGATGTAGAGCTACAGAATCACACTGAGGATGTCGACAGGACCTTCCCCACGTTTCAGCGAAGAGACTTGGGTCTATGGTGGACACCATAAATAATGACTTTACATAACCTTCAACATCCTTCTCTTCCGAGTCCGTGTTCTCCTTTCTTGCCATTTAGCTGAGCTGTGAGGCTCTACAGCAGCAGGAAGCCTGTATGGAAGGTGTCCTGGATCCTGGCAGCACTGGCAGCTTGATATGTCTGCATTCATGAGCACTTTTTGAGTCAGTTGTGGTAAGTTTGGGGTTCCTGACATGCCACAGATAAGAAACTTCTCCTTGCCCACGCCTCTTAGGCCTTTTATCTCTCTTTGAGTTTTTATTCCTGCCCCCCACACACCTCCTTCACTATTGGTTTGGGGTTACTGGCACATTTTTATAGGAAAAAGAAACATTAATGAGCTTGTGCTTGATGTAGTTGAGCACACGATGCCTTCCCGTTACCGCAACTTCCGACACAGTGTGCCATGGCTCATCCTCTTTCTGGAAGCTGTTTTCCTCGTCTTCTCTTACTTTTTCCTCTCAGATGCTGCCACTTTAGGTCTATCAGTTGTCTCCTACCCAGGTAAGACCACCAGCCTTGCTGAGAAAGGCAGGATAATCCCTGCTCCTCTCGTGCCGTTCTGCAGAGATGGGATTCAGCCGCTTTGGGGATTTGTTAATGAGCAGTAGAACTTTTTCCCTGCCCTTTAAACCCCTCACATCTTGCCTGGTATGGTGGGGATTTATGGATATCAAAGTAGTGACAGTGAACCAAGAGATAGGTAGGACTAAATTGCATTTTTTGACCTGTTTTCTGCTGCTTGTTTGAGGTGAACTTGACTCCTGGGAAGGTAAACCTGTGAGCCAGCACAGCTCCGTGCCGAGTGCCTGCAGCATGCCAAGGCATCCTTGTGCTCCAGAGGGAGAATTCAGGGTGGTAGCACCTTCCATTTGAATGCCTGGTGTAAATAAATGAGGTTAATATAGTGGTATCAAGGGTTTAAATGTGTTCTGGAGGTGTATTTTGTGCATGGATCAAAGGAATGTGCTGTTGGATCATGCCCTGGCCATGGTGTACAATGGATTTATTATTATTATTAATGGATTTATGGTGCTGTGCAAATATGAGCTGATTCCTTGGGACATTGTGGTGTGATACTCCCTGGTTTCCAGCTGGAAAAGTGGGACCTACTCACCAGTTTTGCTGTAGGTACAAACTGGTATAACCATATGAGAATACAACTGTTAACATGTCCCTGGCACAATTCCAGGCTAAAAGATCCAGGAGCTTCCATCTCAGATAGCCTCCCCCTTTTTAATTCCATATTAAGCTCTTTCTACTGCAATTTCTGTTCCTTCTACCTCGATGAAGGCATCATATAAGTTTCTCTTGGCAACTCTTTTCTTTCCCAGTGCCCTCAAGGAATGAATCAGCACTAATTCACAGTAACTCTCCCTGAAAATTCCAACTTAAGTTCTTTAACTTCACTCTAGGAAAATGAATGTCCAAATTTTCTTGCTGAATGTCCTCCATTTCTGTTGTGCTTTTTGACTCCTCAACCCTCATCCTGTGGCATCCATTCAGATCACTTTGTAAAAATAAATTCAGGGTCAAAGACAGTTTTACTTGTGGATTGGAAACAAAGCTCTGGAGTTTTTTGCCAGTACTAAGTAATAATGGCACTTGAATTTTTATCTGAAGGCTTCTTAGTTAATTGGGATTTTTAACTGATTTTTTTTTACACCAGAAATCCAGTCTGTGTTACTAATTTCACTGCTGTCTTGGTCTTTTCTGTCATGCAGCTTTTCAAGATGTCAACCACATGGTGATTTTTGGATTTGGCTTTTTCCTGGTGGTTCTAAGAAGATATGGGTTTAGCAGCACTGGATTCAACCTCCTGATCATGGTGCTTGGTGTCCAATACTCTGTGTTGACAGATTATTTATTAGACTACCTTGATATGCAGAAAAATGAAAATGGTCTGACAAGGTAATTAGTTCCTGTTAGAATTGGAAGAATCTAGAAGTGCTGATATTGTTTCTTTATTGGCCCAAGTGTCATTCTGAAACAGAATCATTTTGTTCTTTTCTTTCTCTTCCTGCAGAATAACAAAGGCTACTATGAGTATGACTGCTGTGGCCATCTCCACTGGAGCTGTTCTTGGGAAGAGTAATCCTCTGCAGTTAATTGTCATGGCAATTGTGGAATTAATAACTTTCTCTGTCAGCAGAAGGATCAACAAAATATTCCTGGAGGTACTGTAGTATGATTGCCAGGTACATGGGGGAAATTTCACTGGGGCTTTGGAATGTTGCCTCTTTTTGCTGGTTTCTTAGTGCTCTGCTGACAGAAACATTGATGTGTTTTATCTCATCTCACTTAGATTGTGGCTATGTTTTCATTAAGAGGTGAAATCTGACTTTGGGATTGTATTTAAGGATATCAAACTCCAAACTCTGCACACTCTATATCTCTGTATCTGTATTTTTGGCCTTAAAGGGAGAGCTGATCTGATGGATTGGGATGTGCTGCATTTGCCCAAGAGGTGAATGAAACCCTTGACCTATGCTAAGGCACTAATTGCCCTTAATTTTACCCCCTCCCTGTGCCAGTTCAGCCTGCAAGATTTCCAGTGGGAATGGCACACCATCCCAGTCTGGCCAGCAGTATCAGACCTCATACAGTGGAAACATACCTCAAACTCTCTCTGTATGGATTTTGTGTTTATGAGCTGCATTGAGTTAAGTCAATCTCACATTAGCTCAGGCATAAACTAAGGGACTGTGACAACAAATTGCTTATAAGGAGGTTACATGAACAACAACATCAGGAACTGCATCAAAGGCTTCCTGAGGCCTGAAATAGACCTCAGTTGTGAATATTCTGTTGATACAGGTCTTAGATAGTATCAGCATGATGCACGTGCACCTGTTTGGAGCCTACTTTGGCCTGGCAGTCACCTCTCGTTTCCCTGAGCCTTCCCCAAGGTTGGACAAGAACAGGAACACGCCAACGTCAGACTTGTGGTCAATGTTGGGTGAGTCATTGGCTTTAACATCTCACTGGGAGAAGGGACTGCAGTGAGAATGTAAGGAAGGGTTTTTGAGGGGGTTGGCCACAGCACACTGGAGGTTTTGACTCCAGAATGCAGGTCTGAGCTCAGCCAAGCAGAGCAAACTGCTGTTGTGGCTTGTGGTTTCCAACAATGGGTTGGTGAGTCTCAGCATGTTTCCTACCAGCCACAGAGGCCACTCCTGCAACGGCTGTGGCTCAGTTTGCTTTTGTCAGCCTCAGCATAAGGCTGTGCCAGGTTAACTGTTCCTTCTCCAGGTTAACCATTCCCTTCCCTGGCCAATTGGTCCCTTTTAGGCGTGCCTAGGCATGCTGGTAAGGGACCTGTGTGCCAAAGTTGAGGTCATTACTTCTATTTCAGTAGTACTTGCAGTTCCCAGCTGGGGCCAGGGCTCAGTTTTGTTTTGCAAGGTGGTATACAGAGATATAAACAGGCAGTCCCTGCCTGGCAACGAAAATGAAAAGATAAAAGCCTTGTGAAGGGTGGGAAATGTGATACAGACAGGCATGAGAAAGGATCTGCCCTCACTGCTACCATAGGTTTGGAATAGCCAAAATGGTCTCTCCTGTCTGAGGAATGGATATCCCTGCCTTGGTGCACTGGAATCAGGGAAATTAGCAATGGAAATTGGATTTCAAGGAGCCAAGATGAGCTTATGCAAAATCAGTAGCTGTCAAGGCTGCTGGAAGTTGGGTTTAACCATTGTGCCTTACACTGACAGCGTCAGTGTCACTCGTTAGTTGTCTTGAACCAGAACACCTCAAATGTTACTGTCAGGGGAATTGCACAAGGGTCTGGTACCTCTGTGGTGTGGAGAACACAACATGAGCAATGGGATTGGGCTGGACAGCAGAAAGTAATGACTGCACATGGCAAACTAAACTGTTGGTTGTGTTGTCCCTGTGCCCTTGGAACCCTGCACAACTCGAGGAGCAGAGGCACAGAGCCATGTGGGATCCAAGCTGAGGAAGTCTGAGGCCACCGACTTCCCTCTGCTGGCTGGAATTTGGTCTGTGCATGTGTATCCATACAGGAAGATGTATCCTGCCAGGCAGTGAACTTGTTAGGCTGAGATTCCTAAACGCTGACAGTTAGTGCCCAGGCCACAGAAGCAGCAGAACCTGTTCTCATTCCTGTTGCTACTGAAGGCTGTGTGGTCATCAAAGTGTGAGACTGTGACACACAGTTCCTCCCTCTAAGTGATCTTAGAGGAGGAAAGTGAGTTGTTCTTTTACACCTTTACTAAGGAGTAACTATTTGGTAGACAACTCTCACAAATAACAAGAAGGTTAAGCTGTGTGTGGCTGAGTTGGTGGAGCACCACCTCAGCTCAAGCTGTTGGTCTTTGGCCCTCCTTGGACATAATCCTTGTAGAGGCAGAGAGGATTCTGTTCTTATGATTCACTTCACCCTCTTTTGCTCTTCAAACCCTTCCAGGGGGCAAGACAACCAGTACCATTCACACAGGCAGCCAAGGCAAAGACATTTCAAAGTGCACTCTGAGGTTTTTACAGTAGTTTGTACCATGTGAGCTGGTTTTCCTTCCTCCTCTCACAGCTGGTTTTGAACAGTTATTTCACAACTCCATGAAAAGGAGCATAGATTTTGGCCAAGGAGCCAAAAGTGATGCCTGTGCACAATAGGCAGGATGCAGATTGTTTGGGAATCAACAGTAGAATTGTTCCCACTTGTACCTGACCCTGTGTTTAAAGGAAGATAAATAGCACAAAGGTGTTCTGGAAAACAGCATCTTACCTTCAGCTCTGGGAAGGACCAGCCAGATGCCAGGAGAGCTGTGCTTTGGCCTGTGTGTTTGACACTACCCTGGCAGGTTTTTGGGAAGGTGTTAGTGCCAGGTACCTCTCAGGGCTGTCTGCACTGGGAAAGGTTATCCTTTGTACACAGTTTGGGAATGACAGTGAATGCAAACTGTGGGCTGGAGCCCTCCAGAGACAGGTGGTGATGGATTCACTGTGGTTTAGAGCAGGGAATGATTTTGTTTCCTGTCTTTGTGTCCAAGGCACTGTCTTTCTCTGGGTGTTCTGGCCAAGCTTCAATTCTATCCTAGTTCGGGATGCAAACAAGGTGACAGCAGCCTACAACACCTACTTCGCCCTTGCAGTGAGTGCTGTGATTGCCTTCGCGTTTTCTGTTCTGACCACAAAGGATGGAAAATTCCAAATGGTAAGGCAGGAGAGAAAATCTCTGCAGAGAAGGGGTTTTACTGTTACTCTCAGTAATACACTGGAAGAATAAGGACTGAAAACAAGTCCAGGTTTTCAGCCTCACAGGCATCATAGAATCACAGAGTGGTTGGGTTGGAAGGGATATTAAAAATCATCCAGTCCCACTCGCTGCTATGGGCAAGGCCACCTCCCCCCAGCCCAGGTTGCTCCAAGCCCCATCCAACCTGGCCTGGGACACTCCCAGGGATGGAGCAGCCACAGATTCTCTGGACAACCTGTGCCAGTGTCTCAGCACCCTCACAGGGATGAATTTCTTCCTGATAACTGATCTAACCCCACCCTCTTTCAGTTTAGAACCATTAGCCCGTGTTTTATCACTACATACCCTAGTAAAAAGTCCCTTAACTCCAAGTGTTTCTTGCTTTATTTTACAGGCTCATATCCACAGTGCAGTCCTGGCTGGTGGGGTCACTATTGGTTATACAGCACAGAGTATCCAGCACCCTTGGAATGCCATGGTTTTGGGGCTGCTGGCCAGTGTCATTGCCATAGCTGGATCTCACTGTTCACAGGTAGTGCTCAAAACCTGACATTGTTTTTGCATAAGCTGAATAAACTTCTTTTCCAATGTAGGATACCTCAAGGGAAACCTTTTTATCAGAAGAAAACTAGGAAGCCCAAGGTGTTTTGAGCAGAGTGCAGGATTACACCTCGAAGTGCAAAGTTCATTCTCTACGTTTGTGATGGACAATGTGCAATTATCAACCTGTGATTCTGTGTGTCCACTTAACCTTTTCCTCTTCCCAGAGCTGCTTGAATCCTCCTCTCAAGATTCATGATACTTCTGGAGTTCATTTCACTTTTGCCTTGCCTGCTGTGCTCGGAGCTCTTGCCCAGGTTGCTCTCTTACTTGAAGATTGGACTCATTTAACAAGGTACATAAATTATTGCAGTGTTCCCTGGGAAGAGTTCTCAAGCACAGAGAACCTGAATGTCATCATGGATAAATCATTTTATAACAGATAACCCAAACTAATCCCTGAAGTCCAAAGAAGTCAGTAAGAGCCTTGGAGCATTGAGCAGACTCTGGATCAAAACTTTCCTATCAGCTTTGGGTCCTGTTTCCTGTCTCCCCTTAGATTTGGTATTAAATACAGTGGACATAGGAGGTGAAGGCTGGGGATGTGCCTCTTTCCAAGACTCACTTCAGCTTTTGAGATGCTTTGGGGATGATATGGTACCACAGGGGAGGCAGAAATCAGAGTGCAGCACAAGGGCCTTGCACTTCTCATCATGTTCTGACTGAAACTAATTCACTGAAGTTTTAGTACCACAGTGATGATTTCTAAGGACAAAATCTGTCCTCTGAAGACTGTGTTAGGCTTCTGGTAGGATCTCCTCAAACATCTTAACTGCAGCTGCAGAGAGATTTGAGAATAACAGAGTTTTGATGAGAGGTTTGGATGTAAAAATACTGTGTAAATAGATTCATTCACAGTCTTCATGCTAAATTCAGCAACTGTAGGGGATGAAACACTTGTTTTGCTTTTCAGTCCTGGTTATTTGGTCCTGATTCACCTTGGTGCCTTCTGCCAGACCATTGCTGTCGCCTTGATAGCAGGTTTGATTACAGGTCAGTAGTGACACGTTTCAGTAATTCTTTCTCATTTCCTTGGAGCAAGTTTCTATGGCTAAATTATTTGTAAAAGCAGCCATGGAAACCTGAGTGCCAGGGACTCTCCAGAGCCTTTTAAAGCAGAGCTGTATCCCCCAGAAATAACCCAGCAGCACCATTCTTTCAGTGCTCATTTTAACCAATGCTGAACCTTCAAATTTCAGACAGGAGATAGGGGAAGATGAAAATATTTTTTACATTTGGGTATTGTCTTAGTGACAGCAAATTCTATCTAGGGCCTGTCATTTTCCAGGCCAGTTGCAAAGTTCCTCTAAGCACTAGGCCTTTGATCACGAGAGGTTTGGGGGCAGCAAATCTCACGTGGCTCCCACGTGACATCCTGTTTGTGGCAGCTGCTGCTTTTCTATAGCTGCTCATTCTGTCTTGGGTGAAAGAGAAATGGTCCCTGAAAATTGCTGTGCAATGCACTCTGAAATGAGAGTATTAACCAGTGGATTCGTGTCTTAATTGATCTGAAACCTCTGCACTACCTTAAGTGTAACGAAAATAGCTGAGCAGATTTTTAAAAACCCTTCAGCTAAAATAACCAAGCATTCAGGGTTTAAGCAATTGTTTAAAAACTGAGATGTTTCCATCTGAAATCATAGAATCAACTGGGTTGGAAAAGAGCTCCAAGACCAGCAAGTCCAACCCTACTGTGGTTACCAGACCATGGCACTAAGTGCCACATCCAGTCTCAGCTTGAAAACCTCCAGGGATGGCAAATCCACCACCTCCCTGGGCAGCACATTCCAATGTCTGATCAATCTGTCTATAAAAAATCTCTTCCTAATATCCAACCTAACCCTCCCCTGGCAGAGCTTGAGTCTGTGCCCTCTTGTCCTGGGAGAAGAGACCAACCCCAAAAAAATCCCAAGCCTAAATCCCAAGCTAACAGTGCTGATAAACCAGATTGTTTTAAATACAGAGGCATTTTTCATGCAAGAAGTTAATAATTGTGATCTATTTTTAGAGCCTGGCAGGCTCTTTAATGGAGTTTTACCTAGAGTAATTAATTTTCAGCATCACCAGCCTTGATCCTGGCAAGCTTCTCTCTTTTCATGTCCCTGCCCAGGGCAGGTTGTTGGGACTAGATGATCTGTAAGGTCCATTCCAACCCCTAAATCCTATGATTTGGTTCTGAAATTGTCTTTTAATCTGTGTTACATTTGGACACATGTTACTAAAAACCTTCAGTTACACACAGTCTTCCTGTTCCCTGATGTTTATGTTTATACTGGACATATCTGTTTTTACTAACAGGTTTAATCTTAAACCTCAAACTCTTTAAGATCATCTCTTCATCCAAGTACTTTGACGATCAGTTTTATTGGGAGGTAAGTTGCAATGTCAGATTAATTGAGTGGGAGTATGTTCAGCACCTTTAACTTTAGGTATTTGAATTAAAAACATGTTACAAAGGGCTAATTCCACTTCTCAGCACATTTTTGTCTGATGCACGAACACAGACCTTGGGCACCTTTAGGTGCTGAATGTGAGACAGAAAAGATCTCAGTTACACAAAAGAAATGAATGAAAATAAACTTCTAATCAGATTTTCCATTGCCTTTTTTTTGTATGCTGATTTGATGCATAAAATGTTCTGATAAAAGACTGTTTGTCTTCACAGTTTCCCCACTTGTCTGTTGGATACTGAATGGAGGATCTCAGCTGACAGATTTGACCAAGATAAGATCTTCCTGTTTGCCACTAGAGAAAATAAATAGCTTTGATGGCTGAGAGAGCACTGAAATCTCAATTCTCAGCCCCACAAAAGCTACCCCAAAGGACACACAGAAAATTAAACTGTTTTGGTTATTCTTCAGCAATACAGAGTGTAAATTCACAGTCCAAACTTGCATTTAGCTTTTCTGCTTTGTTGGTCTTACCTGAAATATGAGACATGTATTAAAAAATTGTTTGCTTTCATGGCTGTAATGACTTCTCAATCCAAATGCTTGGAAACTTCAATCTATTTTTAGCACCCAAGTTTAAAAGCCAAAATCATGTATTTTAAGGTATAATTTCTCAAGGAGCACTTCTTATCTAGCAAAGTACTTGAGAATGTGTTTTTAAGCTAAATTAATTCTGTTGAAGGCCTTGTTAAGCAAAGATTTAATGAGTGAGCTGGATCAGGGCCAGAACTCTGCATCCTGCCAGACTGAACTCCTCGACTTCACTGACTGCTTAAAGGAAAATCTGTCATTACTTGGCACAGGCTTGCTGTCTGGAAGTTCAAATGGCAAGAAGTTCAATTGTTCTGCTTGGGGATGAGCTCCTGAAATCAATGGTGTTTGCTGCCAAACCTAGAACACAGCAGACCTCAGGACAGTGTCTGTGCAGTGACTGTCCCACCACAGGGTCAGCTGCCAGGGAAGAATCCTCAGTGCTGCTTGGAAAGAATGCCAAGACCCATTCTGGAAGTGTCTTAGTCCAAGGAAAGCAGAAGACTATGGGGCATGAGCTGGGGCCTAATCACAGAGGATTCTCTGCCAGTGAACCCTTGTGTTTATAAGTGGATTGTGATCCTTAGTGTTTCTTTGTTTCAAAAATAGTTGACGTAGAAAAACCTCTTTCCTAAGTGCTGACCTAATAAAGAAGTCAAAATGGGATTGTTTTTATTTATTCAGCACACTGGTTAAAAATGAATGAGGAGACACATGACAGTGATGACAAGGCTGAGGCCTTTGATGCTCACTGATCTCATTTGTTCAATGGGTGTTGGGAAAAGCAAATCACCACAGCTACACAAGGGAGACAGGTTCCAAGTCATGAAAAACCACTTGTGGAGGAAGGGCCAGTTTGCCTTATTTCCAGGTCATAAAGAGCCAGGGCTCAGCTGAGTTAATTAGCTGTCAGTGGCCTCCAGCCTGGACACACACAGAATCACAGAATTATAGAATCAACCTGGTTGGAAGAGACCTCCAAGATCATCAAGTCCAACTCTCCCATGGTTACTAGACCATGGCACTAAGTGCCACATCCAGTCTCAGCTTGAAAACCTCCAGGGATGGTGAATCAACCACCTCCCTGGGCAGCACATTCCAATGCCTGAGCACTCTCTCTGCAAAAATCTCTTCCTAATATCCAACCTACCCCTCCCCTGGCAGAGCTTGAGTCTGTGCCCTCTTGTCCTGGGAGAAGAGACCAACCCCCACCTGACTCCAACCTCCTGTCAGGGAGTTGCAGAGGGTGCTAAGGTCTCCCCTGAGCCTCCTCTTCTCCAAGCTGAACACCCCCAGCTCCCTCAGCCTCTCCTCATGGCACTTGTGCTCCAGTCCCTTCCCCAGCCTCGTTGCTCTTCTCTGTACCCATCATGTCACCCACACTGAACACATGACTTACTATCTGTGCCACAGTGTGATCCATGCTCAACTTCTTCTTCACTTTTTACCAGCCAAACAGAACTTCTGCAACACAAATAGCTCATTTTTGTATTTAAAGGAATCATATTTTCACCCATCTCTCTTATCATTGATTTCTTGAGCAACCAGCCTGGGTGAAAGCACAGGAAGGGACAGAGACAGGATCAGAGCTCTCCCTGTGGCTCTTCCAAGGAGAAAAATCCATCTGAAGAATCCTTTCCCTTTTTTTTTTTTCACAGTGGTTAGAAAATAGTTGAGCTCAGCTTTGTGCATGGGCTATTTTCATCTAATTTCTGCCTCTACAATGTCACCCACAGCAACAGTAAGTTGTTACTCACCACAGATTTCCTTATTACCACCAGAGATTTAAATACTCAGAGAAGGAGCAAAAAATATCCCAAAGCAACATATATTATGCAAGAAAAGCCACAGACCAGTAAGTTTAGAACTTGAAGAAACGGTTATATTGTCCAGATATAGGAAATACTTAATAAATATATGTTAAAAAGTTGCTTTGAAGCATTTTTAGTAAGTCTTGGATTGTAAAGAACATCATAAAAACAGCTGGTTAAATACTCCACTATGCTGTTTATTTGTAACCACCATCCTGGCAGAAAAGTGACTCCACTGATCCTGGCAGCAGTTTGACACTTGTCAAAAAACATCACGTTTAAGTCGACATACAAGAGTAAAAAAATTCAACAGAACTGGAATTTTTAGTGCTTTCAGCTCTCCTGGATTTACCTTTCGACATAATGGAAGGTCACTGTGTACAAAACGCTTTGACAAAAGGTTGGGGCGTGCAGTGAGAACCAGCAAGGCCAATGCACTTCCAGGGGTGTCTTCACTGCCACAGATCTTCTGTGCGACCAAACTTGAAGACCAAACCTCTGTGTAGAACAGGACAAAGGCACATGAGTAAATAACAGAGCAAATCAAATGCCTCTTGTTTTAAAGAGATGATTTCAGAGAGCAAAATATGGTGTTGTCTTGCATGAAACCTTTGCAAACAGATCCCAGAGATCTGTTCTCTTTACCAGCAGTTTATTCACACAGCTCCAGGTACCAAACAAGGCTCAAGGAAAAATCAGATGACAGCAAGTTCCACTTGCTATCATTAAAACAACTTAGATAAGAAACAAGCAAAGGAAAAGATTCTTACCCGAAAAAGATGAATGCATTCTGGAAAAACACAGCTATTCCTGGGTACACTACTGGTTTTTCTAACAAAAGGGAAAAAAAAAACTCCATAAATTTTTTGGGCAAGTTGTTTTCAAGCATATCCCATTTCTGACATCTCACTTTCCTTTGTGCTGATTTAGCACACAGGGAGCAACTTTCACAAAACCAGTAACTGTGAGTCTGGGAATATGTGTGCACCCAGAGAACTATTCCCACATAACTGCAGCAGTTTAACTGTATCTGTACAGTTTCCAGTTGGCCAAGGCCTGTGTTTCCAGAGATGAGTTAGAAGTTGGTGACTTAGAAGCAGAAAACTAATAGTATGAATTAGGGGTGTGTAAGGAACCAAAACATTAAAACTGGGCCTGCCTAGAAACTATCTGAAAACAAGTTCTACAATTCACTGGTTATTTAAAATCACAGAATATACAGAATTGGAAGGATCCACAAGGATCATCCAGTCCAACTCTTGCCCAGGACACTCCAACAATCCACCCTGGGCCTGAGAGCATTAGCCAAACACTCCTGGAGCTCTGTCAGCCTTGGGGCTGAGCCCACTGCCCTGGGGAGCTGTTCAGTGCCCAAACACCTCTGGGGGAAGAACTTTTGCCTAATATCCAACCTAAACCTCCCCTGACACAACCTCAGGCCATTCCCTTGGGTCCTGTCACTGGTCCCAGAGAGCAGAGGTCAGTGTTCCTCATGAGGGAGTCATATACAGTCATGAGGTATCTCCTCAGTCTCCACTTCTCCAGGCTAAACAGACCAAGTGACCTCAGCCCCCTCCTTAGAATAACTTAAACTCTCAAAAAACAGGTCAGGTCTTACCTTTAACAACGTAACCTCCAAAAAGGATCCACATGGAAGCAATCAGAGATCCAAAAGCCATCATGAACCCAATGAACAGCCAGATCCGAGCACCTTGGAAGAGACAGAAAGATCTTTTGCACAGACACTCTCAGACACTGTGACTCAGCTTCAGAGCACCTCTGACACACAACATACAAGCTGGAACAGCTCTCCCAGTTCTTCCAAGCCTTAAAGGCCTCACAAATCCACCACCTGCCCACCCTGTTGTACCTGTCTGCCCCAGGCAGCCTTCACTGTAGCTGTCACCTCGCACCTGTCCATTGGACACAGCATTGATCCTGTGTGGGAAAATCAGGATAAAAGTGAGAACCTCTGCATTTAAAGCCTAGGTGTTCTTTTCCTAATTGCACAAAATCTGATCGAGAAATGACCTTACATCAGGAATGCAATCGTGGCTATAACCCCACAAGCATGGTAGGAATGGTTGAAGTCTTCCACTTGAGGGTATTTCACAGCTGCATCTATGATTATCCACCAACCTGTAAAAAACTGTTCAAAGAAAAAAAAAAAGAGTACAATGGCTTAAGATACAGACACAAACCTTTTCACAGCACGTGAGATGAAGAGTGATGGAATATTCCCCAGTAGCCAACCTAAACTTTCCTTAGCACAACTTGAGGCTATTTCCTCTCATCCTGTAGCTTGGGATGTGGGAGAAGAGAGTCCCAAACTGCTAATAATTCCTAGCTCATGACAACTGGATACACCTAAGAGACCTGAAAGCAGCCTAAGAGCAGTGTGCACCTACCAGCACACCTGCAGCCACAGAAGCAATGGTGTTTCGTTTCTCTCCCCAGTCCACGCACTCCGAGCATCTCAAGCTCTCCAGGAAACCAGACATTTTTCAGCTCTCAGAACTGCAGAAGGAAAAAAAAAGAGGAACATTTATTTCAGCAGAGGAAACCATCAGGCACCGAGAGCCGCACGCAGCTGTGCGGAGGAGGGTAAAGCTGCTCAATCCCACAAATCCTTCCCGAGGGATGGCAGACACAGCTCCCACCAGGGAAACCCGTGGGGCATCACCTCCCTCGGACCTGCGGGGGCTGCACGGAGAGGAAAGGGGACAGGGCTCCATCCCAGCATCCCTCCCCATCCCGGGTCACTGGCCCTCCCTCCTCGGGGCCGTTTTCTGTCCCTGCTCGGGGCTGTGTCTGTCTAGGCTGGACAAGGCTCCATCCCAGCATCCCTCCCTGTCCAGGGACATTATCCCTCCCTGTCCCAGCCACTGTCCCTCCCTGCCCGGGGCCGTTTTCCGTCCCTGCTCGGGGCTGTGTCTGCCCAGGCCGGGACAAGTCTCCGTCCCAGCATCCCCCCCTGTCCCGGCCACTATCCCTTCCTGCTCGGGGCCGCGATCCCTCCTTGCCCTGGGCTATTATCCCTCCCTATCCGAGGCCATTCTCCCTCCCTGCCCGGGGACACGTCCGTCCAGGCCGGGACAAGGCTCCGTCCCAGCATCCCTCCCTGTCCGGGGACATTATCCCTCCCTACCCGGGGTCGTTTTCCGTCCCTGCTCGGGGCCGTGTCTGTCCAGGCCGGGACAAAACGCCACCCCAACATCCCTCCCTGCTCGGGGCCGCGATCCCTCCTTGTTCTGGGCCATTATCCCTCCCTACCCCGGGCTATTTGCCGACCCTGTCCGGGGCCGTTCTGTTCTTCCTCCCTATCCGGGGCCGTTTTCCGTCCCTGTTCGGGGCTGTGTCTGTCCAGGCCGGGACAAAACTCCATCCCAGCATCCCTCCCTGTTCGGGGCCGCGATCCCTCCGTGCCCTGGACCATTAGCCCTCCCTACCGGGGCCGTTCATCCCTCCCTCCCTGGGCCGTTCATCCCTCTCTCCCGGGGCCGTTTTCCGTTCTCCCCTCACACCCCACGTACCCCTATCCCCCCGCGCTCCGCGGGGCAGTGTAACCGACGGGCGGTAACCGGCGGTCCCGGGCCGTTCCCGGGCGGTGCGGG